TTTTCAGGTATCTTTTACTCTTGAAATTTTCCATCCAAATACTTGACAGATTTAAAACTGATGAGACTTCTAAAGACTGAGATGAGATCTAATCAGAACAGTCCTATTCTAAGAGTTTTAATGATCCACTTAGAACTTTTCTGTTATTGCATAAAATGATTATTGCCATTCATTTTTCCTCCTGGGTAGGAAATGTACTAATTGGCAGCAAGTATATATTAGAATAAGTAATTATTTCCTCTGTCCTCTTGCCATTGCTGCAATATGTTTTGTATTAGGGATTTTATTGTAGAGACCACTTCAAGTAGTGATGGAAATATCAGTGGATATGCTGGAATGAAGCATGGGAAAAATTATTCTGAGATAATTCTTTGCTGAGTGAATTAGTTCAGTGTAACTGTTGGGATCCTGGGTACTATCAAGGAGCTGATAATGTAGTGATCCTTAGATATATTTGAGTCTGTGGAAAATTGGTAGTTTTCAATGTTGAGAAAAGGATGTGGGATAGTAAGTATGTCATGTATCTTGTACTCTTTAGTAGTAAGAAGGAAAGTAAATCTATTAATACGAAGAAGCTTCATAAAGTTTGAGAAAAATATTCAATATTTTTGAATTCAACTTTTTGAAGCCCTCTCAAATATCATCAAGGAACACAGATAGATATAGGTAAAGTTAGGGTGTCCAAACAAAAGTTTCAGATAACTGTCTTAAAATACTTCTTAGACAAATATTAATGATGAAGACATTGAAAAAATCACAAATAAATTTGAGTTTTGTATGTTTAAATTCAGAGAAACTTAATTTTTTTATAGTTTTATTGACATACAATTCACTTATCATAATTTGATAGTTCACTCATTAAAAAATTGATAAACAGTTTTTAAATGGAATGCTGTCTCACATTGAAATTTGATGATAATCTATAGTAGCAGAAAAGCTTCTGATGTAAATCTAAATAACAAAATGAACTAAAGAAATAATAAGATTTATTAATTAATTAATAAATTTGTCAACTAATTAATTTGTTGCTTAATAAAATAATAATTTGTTAATTAAATAACAAAGAACTATAGCCACACATACAATAAGCAGTGAACTCATTTCTATGTACCTAGCTCCAAAAATATTTTAACTATCATATATACTCGAGTATAAGCTGAGTTTTTCAGTACTTTTTTATTGTTGCAGTTTTTGTAGTAAAATTAGGTTCCTCGGCTGATAGTCACGTAGGCTTATATTTGCGTATATGCGGTACATGGATCGAGAAGTCAAGTTCCGTCTATATTAAACCATTCATATAATTTATGATTTTAATTTCATTTTTTGCCTGTTTAAAATTTCTGAATATAATAGTATTGCTTCCATTGGCTCCATCTGGAGGCTCAAACTTACTGTAATGGAATATTCACATATATATTTTTTCCTTTAGAACTTTTGCACCAATGTGGGATGTGTTTAAAACATCTACAGAAAAATTAGCAAATTGTCACCTGGATCTTGTTAGGAAATTGCAAGAATTAATAAAAGAAGTTCAGAAGTATGGAGAAGAACAAGTAAAATCTCATAAAAAGGTAATTGTTTTTTTCTTGCTAGAGTATTGATTGGTGACACACGAGTGCTTTAGAGTACAGTCATTTTGATGAATCATTTTAAACTAAACAGACAAAAGAAGAAGTTGCTGGAACGTTGGAAGCTGTCCAAGCTATTCAGAACATAACTCAGGCCCTCCAGAAATCCAAGGAAATTTACAATGCCAAGTGTGTAGAACAGGAGCGTTTGAAAAAGGAAGGAGCCACGCAAAGAGAAATCGAAAAGGTAATAGTAATAAAAAAAACTACATCTGTGGTCTTTTTCAGAGCACTTATAGATACAGGATTGAATTTAAACTCTTTTTAAAGCAGACATTGTCCCTTAAAATATTAGTGACTTACAGAGTAGCTCTGTAAAATGTTGTGTATAATAAATAGATTAACAGACACCTTTAGGAGAGTGATTTCTCTATGTTCATGGTCTGTGTGCAGGCCATTTTTATAGTAAGATAATTATTGAGATGCTGCTTGTTATAAGATTTAACAGTGATGTAAACATTTCTTTTTGTTGTTGTTTTGGTAAACATTTCTATTAAGCAAGACTAGTGTGTTTGGAAAGATAAGCTGTAAAAGTTTTTTGTAGGAATACTTATATAGTGTTGTGGTTGCCTTTTCATTGTGCGTTTCCCCGTTCAAATTCTTTAATCCGGCCACTCACTTGTTTGAAATGGTATATTTCATTTAGGAATGTGAGTCATAGAGAAGGATAATTTTGAAAATTTGTAAAGCATTTGAGACACTTAAAACAACAACTGTGAAAAATTCCACAGTAATTGAACTTCTGTCACCAGAACAATATTTTCCAAGCACTGTTCTTCCTCTTTGTTTCTAACTTTTGAATTTCAATCACCAATAATTACCAAAGCATCTTTTTATTTTTTTAAAATAAATTTTTGGGGGGCTCTTACAGCTCTTATTAAAATCTATACATCCATCCATTGTGTCAAG